ACAATAACAAAAAAACCGCAAGATCGCAGCCGTTGAGAGATAGAAAAAATCTTCAACATCACGAAATTCACAAGAGAGCTCATCTGTCGAATGAACCTATTATGCAACGCAGAATTCCTTTACTTAATATGATAATAACAAAAAATTGAAAAAAGAAAACGCATAGGCCGCCGCCAATAACTGAGCCCCGCGTACTGTGAGCAATCAAAGCAACATCTGCGTGGGAGCCTGACTCGAACGAGTGCCCTCGTCCTTTAAAGTTTGGCGGGAGAAGAAAATGTTCAAAGCGGGCGATTGAGGTTGGTCCTCCGTTTTTGGGCGCTAGTGTGACAATATGGTGAAAAATAGTCTGGTTTGTGTTAGCGCCATTTTCAGGGAAATAAATAACTTCGAGAGAGGCACACAGAGACCTTAGTAATCTAACACAATTTCAAAAAGTGCATCTATAGTTGTTTTTGAACTATTCCTGCTAAAAACCCATGGTGAAGTCAGGACGAACGTGTGAACTTTGCTGATGCAATCGTGTATATTTTGTCACTCGCCCCTGTACAGGCAATGAACTTAGCAAACAAGTACGTCTTTATCATGAACGCTCCAGTTGTCCCAAGGAGCACCCTGACCACTCGAATCATTTAGTTGATTGCAGCTATGGACTCCTTTCATCCTGCGCCGAAACGTTCGAGATCGTGCTCGGATTGCTTCTTCTTGTAAACGGGATTGCGGTGTTGTGACTGGTCACCCTTCGCGTTCAGGGAGCAACTCCCTTTCTGCAAGCGAGGTCGTCCAAGGTGTAGAACGCTTCCTCAAGTCGGTTTTTTGCATCCTCTAGGAGCTCTCACGTAGGCTACACTACTGTGCTCAACTTTTGCGCCACTTCGCCTAACAAGTAATGGACGACGTGCGCCACCGCGCAGTACGGATTTGCACGTACCCTCGCCTTCATGGCATTAACGTGGCATCGATTCAAGAACATCTTTGAGCACACGTGATGTGACGTCACCCAGGAAGGAACTGACCCAGGAATTGATCCCCGAACCGCTCGTGTGGTAAGTGCGCTACTTGTCACTACACCACTTCCGCCCTCGAGATGCAAACGATCATAAATAACTTCTTTCACGATGGATATTGGAACCAGGAGATTTGTGCTTTCCAAAAGACATAAAATATTTTGCAGTTCTGCAACCCCGTTGGAAAAGTAGCGGGAGTCAACGTGTGAATGTGAGGGACTTTCGCTTCTTCGCCACATATACAAGAAGAGGTCCCATTTCTTGAGGTTTTTCCTTCATCCCTGCACTGCTGACCACCTCTTCTTTGATTTCTAGCTGCCTTTTCATCGTGAACTCTGTCTCAAAAATTGGGAGGGTTCAGTCCGTTTATACTGATATGCGATTCTCCTTCACTATCAGTGTTTTTCTTTGATAAGTGATTACTGGTTTTCTTGCCTCTCTGCTAAAGAAGGGTTTGAATCATTCTATGTCGCCTCACTCCATGGCATGCTGAAACTCGTTCACTATCCCCTACTCGATTGTTTGCCTTCGGTTCTTGGACTGGTCATCGCTGCGGTAGGTCCCCCTCAGTTTCCTTAATTTCAACAGCTTTCGAAATTGATTCCGGTATTAATTTTCTACACAGGGTGCCATATTTATGTGCAAAAACAAAAAGTTGGGTTCCGTAACGCGACAGCGTGGTGGCAAATCGAAGAAGCCTTTGGCTGGATCGTCGCTTGCACCGTCAAAAACTCAGACGACCCTGAGTAGCACATGTGGTGAGCTCAGATGATTTCTGTACTTTACTTGCTTTTTTGCCACATTCACCAAGTGAGCTACATTCGGAGTTCTCGACGCACAACGAGCTGCTAGTGAGAAACGCTAGCGACGCTCCGTCCATCGGACGTTGCGGCCGACACCGGCTGCAAACACCCGGTGGTGCTGACTTAAGTAAACTAGCATATTCAACTTTTCTTCGAAGGCGCCATACCTGTCCACCATCGACGGAGCTCCGCCCAGCTTATTTGGGTTTCGTACCTCATGACCCTGTCTCGCCCATCACAAACTAGATCCGCCTCTTCAGGTCATACCGAACTTCGTGACTGATACGCCACTGCCTTGGCGCTCTATGTATTCAAGTAGGGATCGCATCCATTGCCTCAAGCGGTGACAAGCAGAATAGCAGCTTGTGATCTGCAAAAACCACAGGTTAAGACCGCCAAGTTTATGTTAAAATGCAGCTATAAGGCCGCGTTCATAGTTCGCGACTCCGGAGATTAGGATAGTACGCGACAATGAAAAACATGTATTGACGGGGAGATTAGGATAGTAGTAGAGTAGGAGATTGCGCTGACAAGATTAGATACGTATCGATTGAAATCGCTGGAGAGTAGTAGATTGCGATATTACGATAGTAGGATAGTAGTAGAGTAGGAGATTAGGATAGTAGTAGATTAGGATAGTGCGCTGACAAGATTAGATATGTATTGATCTATTCGCTTGAAGTCGCCCAATCTACTACTCTCCAGCGATTTCAATCGATACGTATCCAATCTTGTCAGCGCAATCTCCTACTCTACTACTATCCTAATATCCTGTCGCCTACTATCCTAATCTCCCGAGTCGCGAACTATGAACGCGGCCTAAGCGGTTGGCGCCAGCTGCAAGTCGGAGGGCAGATACCATCTCATGAACATCGTGGATGGTACCGTGGATAAGACCTTACACGCTAGGGTCGTGCCCAGTTCGTGGCTCAAAATTTATTATGTTGACCAGAAATTATCCACAGTTTGTTCAGGCCTGAATGATGTTATTCGAAAGCCCACAACCTCTGGAACATTTTGTTATATATGTACCAGTTGGCGCCGCACGCATTGCGCGCACAACACAGATCTGCGGCGAATTTTGATGGTGCGACGAAAATTTTCAAATTTGGCTTGATACACCACGAATATCTGAATTCTCAGCTAAATTCTATCCGCTCCATCATCGACGGCTTTCAACCTCTTTTTCTTCGTCAACCATTATCCTCTTTTTCTCGGTCTCCGGACTGCTTCCGGACAATAAATCTCGTGGCAAACTCCGCCTACTTCGGTGCGTGCCCCGCCCACCAATAGCATTTGGCCCCCTTCCTTTCGCCGACCTCTACCCCTTTTTTCACCGGTCTCTGGGACCTCTTGGAACCAAATTACGACACTTTTGGCAAACTCCGCCCACTTAGGTGCGTGCTCCGCCCACTAATAGCAGTTGACCTCTTTTCCCTCGCCAACCTCTAACCCCGTTTTCCCCTATCTCTAGGACCTCTTGGAACCGAATTGCGACACTTTTGGCAAACTCCGCCCACTTAGGTGCGTGCTCTACCCACTAATAGCATTTGACCTCCTTTCCTTCGCCGACCTCTACTCCCTTTTTCCCAGCCTCCTGGACTTCTTGGAGCCGAGTTATGAATTTTCGTCGCAAACTCCGCCCACTTTGGTCAAGCCCCGCCCACCGATGACAGCTGGCCTCCACTCCTCCACCCCCATCCACCTTTTCCCTCTCTTCGGCCGTCGGTCCAAACTCCGCCCACTTTGGTCAAGCCCCGCCCACCAATGACAGCTGGCCTCCACTCCTCCATCCACTTCTATCCACCCTTTTCCGGCTCATTAAGACTTCTCCGCCCCGAATTATGAGGACTTGTAGAAAATGCTGTACACTTCAGAGCGCGCCCCGCCCATTCTGGGCAGGCCTCCCCCACGTCATATATGCTGGGAACACCTTAGACATTGCTCCCCTACACCAATTTGTTTTCTGCTCTGTAGGCTTTCTCCCAACCGAGTTATGAAATTTTTCATAAAGCACTGCTTTTTTGGAGAACGCCCCGCCCACCGGGGGTGGGTCTCCCTAATTCGATGTGACTTACCAATGCACACCTTTACCCACTTTTTGGCCCAGTTTCGAGGTCGTTTTAGAATTGAAATCTTGGTCGTCAGTACACTTCATTTCGACGCACGCCACGCCCACTGTGGGCGGGGCTCCGCTTAGCTGATGTGTGTTTTGTACTTCGTGAGACCTTGCCCACCCATCCCACACTTGACCCGGTCCCTCCAGGCGGATCCCGAGGAGCTAGGGAATTTCGTGACAGACATACAGAACGACAGACAGAACGACAGACGAAGCGCTTTATAGTAAGTAGGATATGTAACACTTGCTCATTTGCTTCATTATGGAGTGATTACAAGACCTCTTCAAACCGGGCAAATGGGGAAGAAGATGCAACGCGGATGTTTTGAGCGTCGTATTCAGTGTCCAGGGAACGCGTAAAACGAGAATGCATTTCATTTGACGCGCCGGATGGATTACGGTAGCCCTGACCTAGTGCTGAAGTTACATTCTTGTCTAGTTTGCGCCCGTTTGTCTCTATATTTCTCGTTCCCACGTTGTCTAACCAAAGTGATCCCACGTTCTGTGTACCTTTTCCATTCAATTTCATGCAACTCTCGGAGAATTGCAAAGGATTATATTTATCAGGGGTGCTTCAACTGTTTCTTCGCACAACACTAAGAGCTTGCAGCTTCATTTTTCGACCTAACATTCACATTCCACAATCGTGGAATGGAATGTGTCATTAGACCCATAGACAAGTTATCAACATCCTTACTTTCGACTGATACCTTGCGCATGCAGCGAAGATGTTGTGGCTTCTTTTCAGAAAGCGATGCGAAGACAGCTATTGCTACAGTTGATAGCGGAGTTGAGAAGAAGAGTGTCGCTACTGCAACGCCTAAAAAGGGAGTGAAGAAAAAGAAAGTCGATGGAAAGCATAAGAAAAATCATCGCACAAGTAAAAAGCACAAACATAAATCAAATGATGAAGTAAAAAAGAAAAAGAAGAAAACCATAGAGAAAAAGAAGACCAAAGAAAGTAAAACAAAAACTCAAGAAGAAAGAAAGAAGACCAAAGAAGAGGAAAAAGAGGTCAGGCGCGTATCAACAGCAAAAAAGGAGGAGAAGAGGGTGGATGCGACGCAGGACATGAATGAAGACCAAGAATCGGATAGTAACGCTAAGAAGCAGATAAGCGAGGATCAAAAAGAGGTGGAGCAGCCTCCAACACTGAAGAGAAAACCAAGCCGGCTGCGATTTTCCGCTATCCTTCGGAAGAGCCATTCGGAGGTGGATAAGAAAAAGACGTTGAGATCTCGCAAGGAAGCGAAGAGTCCAAGTGTAAAGAATATTAAAGCGAGGAAAACTCAGGTGCGACGATTTTTACTTGATTATTAATGCAGGGCCGAGGAACAAAAGCGTATGAAAGGGTCGCCAATTCTCGAAGGAAGCCGTTGACGCATACACGTCCCCAACCAATACCTACCTCTCAGTGCATGCAAATAACATGGCTAATAGTGGTATGCTACAGCGAAGCTTAACGATAGCCCACTACAATGATGAAGGCCGACAGCCCTGATACATAACCCATCACGACCTACTGTAACCGAGTCGACACCTAATGGTCTCTGATCTACACCACTTTTCGATGTAGCCACAGCTGCCAAGCGAGAATATTATGGCCACTTTGGGGATATTACTAGGTTGTTGAAAGTTCCCCATAATGTAGTGTTTCACCTCTCCAACAGTCAAATACCTATTCAGGAATCGTGAGACTGCACTGAACAAAGCTATGCAGGATACCGCAGTGAAGTAGACTTGTCGTGCTTTATCTGCCGTAGCAATTGCCACCAATTATGGCTGGAAACGAAGTCCTCCGAATGGCAACAATGTTCGGAGACTACTCTCGAAACCAGAAGGGGAGCGATGTGAAAAGAAGCCACGCGCTGCTATGTAAAACCCAAAACTAGTGGGCCTTTCACATGAGTTGAGTGTCTTCTGAACCTAAATGAAAGGGTCCACAGAACAATGCACGAGAACTGGCAGAGTTTTTCCAGTGTAGCAGAGCACAATGGTTGTTCCTCAATATCGCCTCGAGAAGACATAGTCCCTGGCGAGAAGATATTCCGCGATCTGACTGGCCATCAACTTCGAGGAAGGGGAAATCTGCATAAAGATTTTGATTTTCCGCCTGTCTCTCGTTTGATCCGGTACATTGGTTAGTGTAACGTGCGTTCTTCATGTAAATCAGAAGCGGAAGCACTCGGACTCGACTCACAGAACTAGATGATTCAAAACTTCGAATACTAATGATAATCGACTGCAAGCTGGGACGCCACTTCTAGAACTAGGTCAAGCTGCAATTATTTAATTCAAACCTGCGATGTGTTTACCATAACCAACTCATTTCTTGTTGGTAACATGATTATTAGAAATGATTATTAGGCCGCGGTACCCCGCAAGAACAGTGGCAACGCTTACAGAGGTAATGCAACCGCCCTTTTGGCGTTTCGGCTGGGACCGTATGCTGAATGTTGGGGAGGGGATGGGGTCCCCAACGGTCGACGGTTTACTTCAACTCGGTTGGTACGATAGGAGAGTACTGACGCAAGTGGTGCAGCTGGTCCAGCAGCTCCGCCAGAAGGGCTGGTTTGCTCACCCCAGGACTAAGCCTTGGAGAGGGGACGGACCCGTCCTCTCTTTAAGGCTTAGTTCTGAGGTAAGCACCAAATTGTGGCGGTTCTAAGGACCGAGTTGAAGTGGTCCGTCCACCGTCGGGGACTCCATCCCCTCCCCAACATTCGGCATACGGTCCCAGCCGAAGCGCCAAAAGGGCTGGTTTGCTTACGTCCGCGTCTACCTATAACCTCGGCAACGTTCGCTCAGGCGCTGCAATGAAGGTCCACTAGATGCCTCCAGGCTCCCTGTAGAACGTTCTGAGCTATGCAGTGTGTCCAGCGGACAATCGGACTTTGCCTTTTTGTCCCCAAAAGCTCAGGATTTCTAAAGGAGGCGCCTCCATAAGTTACCTGCTAAAAGGCAACATGTTGACGACTATGGTGAGGCATCGTTTGGTAAATGTGGGCGGTGCTAGAGAACAACAACAAATTTAAAAAAATGGGTACTGCCGAACGACTTTTGCAACAACCTAGTAGTTGTGCACGTACAGGCATCACTTTTTTCATTTGGTAGAGTTGTCAACGCCTTTATAATTGTACTACCCATCAGCACCCTCACGTCCCCTATCGGTATCCATCGTTCACGATCGGTGCACGCGCTTTCCCACAGCGTGTCTACGGTCATTTACACATCATGTAGACTTCTACCTAAGACAACCACTAAAATAATACCATAGTGAGGATAATTTTAGGAAGGCGATAATGTGGAGGCTCTTGAAGGGAACAAAGCTCAAACTCCTAACAGTTTAAAGACTATAGAAGTTGATAACCGGCTCAAAAGTTTAGTGCAGTGGCAAGCACAGTTTTAAGGTTAGCCGCGTGGATTTCCTTCACGTTTCAACACTGTTCAGGTCCTAATAAGTCAAAAATTTCAGATTCTGGTTGTCTCATAGGACGTAATTGACAATGAAAACGACACTTTATACTGTTTGAAATAGATAAATATTTCAAGAGAAATTGCTCCGTCATGTCACCCTTCGTTTTATTGATTACAGAGGGAATAATCCGTTCTTTAGAAATATGACAGTCTTTCTTTACAGGGTCTCATAACTATTAGCATGACAGGCAGGCCTAGACCATACGTGAAGTTTTGAACGGTTCTTAAATGAATTGCATTCTGCCGAATGTTGAATAGCGAACTAGACCCGCGAGAGATACGACGCGACAGCCATGGTGAACGACACCTCCGTCTCATCGGCGGCGGTGATGAGTTGTGGTTGGTCCGTGTTTCCGACAAGCGAGTGACGTTATTACAACCAACTGAGCCATGCGTTCCAAACAGTAGTTGATGGGAGTTCCCAAGGCTGGTTGAGCGTTGAAAGCATCTCGCTTTAATTTGTTTGCTTTGGCAAGAGAGGTTCGCCACAAGTCTCCCCTGCGATTTTCTCTCCATTCTAGAAAAGTTTCCCTCTGAATTATATATAAAATATCCTTTTCAATTTGCCCACTAAACATTTTTTAAAAATTTCACTGAACTTCTACACGATCATCAGGTCTAAAACTTGTGTGGTCTTATGTGCTAATTGGAAGGGAATGAGATTCTATGTTGGAAGGCTTCACAAGAAATGAGGCAGGCTCACAACTAACAATTTTGAGCGGTGCAGGCCAGGGCACTGGCCATACAACGGCAATAATGGTTCTGGTAGTATATCTTTCACAACCTCCACGCCTACAAAGACAATTTACACGTGTTTGTGAACTCTCCAGATCGGAAAAGTGGTGTTCCTACGTTTTTCTGATCAGATGATAGTTCCTCATCCGTGGTCAAGATAGTGGGGAGAGTTTAGGAAAAATGTCAGTGTTGGTCAAAACGGTATGCGTATAGGTTTCCGCGCACGACATTTCTTACCTAATTGTTTCGAACGAGGCTTCATTGTGCGTCTTCGCACTGGATTAATAGATGAGCGACTCGAAGATTTCGCAGTCGTCAAGTTTTGCTCATATGAAAACATGGGATAATGGAATGATACTATATTTCTTTTCCTACGTTCGAGACATTTAGGGCGGATGTGGTATATAGTGAGAAGTGGCACGCTTATCACGCGAGCGGGCGATCCAGGGATCAAATCCTGGGTCGTGAGTCGCCCAGGACTTCCACCCCTCCCGGGTCGGTTAATTGGTACCAACTTGTCTGGGAGGATAAAAAACACTGACTTGTACATTGGCTGGCCCCCGCAAGTCATTGTATATGTAGGCCACATCGCATTCAAAAGCCACTGCGAATGTACAAATGGAAGTAGAGTGCGTGCCGCATCCCAAAAAGGGGATGAATCAAACTGGCGAGAATGCTTTAAATCTTGTTACCAGTTTAGATCCGCGACGCGAAATTGCCGGCGCAGCGGGGCGCAAAATGGACGGGCGGTTACGAGGTGGAGAACTGGGACAACTTCCAGAATGTTAGGTCACGTAACAGAGAAACTAACAGTAAAATGTTTTGGAAGATGTGTCCCATGAAGTTCAAAGGTCGTCCAATTTCTCTGGAGGTTGTCGCGTAACGCGCGCAGTAGCACGCGGAATGGAAATGTTACTTATCATGACTTCGAAAACATTTAGCATTGATGTCGAGCTCGGGCGATTTAGCGGTTTATAGAACTTCCACAATTGAATAATCGGTGTGTAAGTGAAATATAAGCAATCAATCAGCATCTACCGAGCTATGATGGAAATTGGAAATATGATTTTATTCGCTATTAGTCCAGGTCCGGATAGTTGAGCAGCTCAACTTTTTCTTTGGCTTCTTTGGCATTAAGGATAGGAATTGGCACTATAATCCAGGCGGCCTGGTTGTGAGTGTTCACTGATGTGCAGACGCTCAATTGTTCGCTACTCTCGTTCATGCAAGTACAGTCTGCGCTGCATCGCCACTTTCTGTACACACAGCATTCATCTGCGCACTTTGTTCCGTCCCATTCCTTACACCGACAGTGTGAAGAGCGCGAAGGTTCTCAATTACATGCAGGCAGCGAACGAACTGGGTGTATCCATTTTTAGCGCCCAGTTATGCAGGTTCTTGTCAAGTACTAGCCGGGGGGAAGCCAGGGGGGGTGCGTGGCACGGGGGGGTCGAGTGTGTTGCGGGGCGCGTCACGCAATATCATATATATGCAAAGCTTTCCACGATCGACGGGGCGCGAGACGAGCAACGGCAATTGGTGAAGGGTCGGAACATTTCGGCGTCCGTTATCAGCTTCTATCAGTAGCTATCACTTCCCGCCACCCACTATCAGTGTTCACGCCCGGCCCCGTACATATCCTAGAAGTTTGAGCGCTCTTGGTCCAAAGGGAGCGAAGTTATGAATTTCCGGTCAGACACACACACACACACACACACACAACCGCTTAGCCGATTATATATAGTAGGATCTGATATCGGGCGAGCTCGTGTACGCAAAGCAGGAAATATCCATGCAGTACAGACGTGACATCACCGATCAGGGGTCATAAATACGAACATGATATAGAGGGACTGTTATGTTATAATGACAGGCAGGAGGCACGTAAGCGACAACTAGGTGGGGAGCTGAGTATCACGTTTAAGCGAAGCGTGCTCACACGGCCGCATATCTATTTCATGCTGCATGTTGAGCAAGAACTGCAGACGACTTGATTTTCTGAGGCAAAACAATTGAATGAGCCTCATGAGCGTGGGTTCCGTTCACGCGCTCATTGCGATTTGAATATTGAGAATCACGCCATGGTCAACGAGCAGGTCTGATTGAGAGTACGGGCAGTCGATGTGTTGCTTTCCTGAACACAGTCTACAGAGAGCTGGTATCAGAGAGCCTGTTTGTGTAGAGTGCAGAGAAATTCCAAACAGAACTACCAGGAGATAAAGTACGGGCAGATTCGATTCCGAGAAGAAGCTACGATGGACCGTTTTCTGCTTCTTTCTGGGGATTTTCAACTTAAGAGCTCGGCTCTCACTCGAGATGCTCGAGAGAGCCGTCCTTCTGTCTGCTTTGGCCTGGTCGTATAGAGCAGGATTGTCCGCCTGCATTTGTGCTGAGTGAGAGTGTGTCGGAGCGGTGGCACAGACAGCGGGCGATCTTTGACGCACGTTTCGCGCATTGGCAACGCTGAACAAGTGACCTACATTTCTATCCACAACTAATAAGAATCCGTCTACATGTTATCTGTCCACATTACAGTTTCAGAGAATACGAATAGGCCAGCTAATAACATTATTATTGAAAAAAAACAGCGTAGTAATTCAGGGCTCCCGCGCGAAAAGTTGAGGCAAGGAAAAGGAGAGCAACTTTTTTTCTGTCTCGAGCATTACGATAATGGAAGCAGGGTGAACCACGGTGGCAGAGTGTGTCTTGCTAAAGTAGCATCAAGGAGCACTATTGACTACATTGACGAGAGGGGATCGTGGGAGAGCCTCGATGCAATGTTCACCCTGTTTCATCCAACAATTACATTCATCTTCTTCACCTAGTCCTTCCTATCTATGTACTCGTTGTTCATCCCCAAGATATTGCTCCTTAAGGCAAAGAATCCCAGCAGGATTGTACACTAACGGCAAGCAACGATGCGCTAGCCCTAGTCAAGAACATAAGAAGTGTGACTGAATGAAAGCTCACCTTGGAAAGTTGTAGAAAGGAGCTGAACGGCTTCGAAGTGGGCGTGGTTGGAATCGGCCGAGGGGACTGCACAACCACGCCCACTTCGAAGCTGTTCAGCTCCCTTTCTAGCGGCTTTCCAAGGTGAGTTTTTTGTTCAGTCACACTTCTTATGTTCTTGACTAGGGCTAGCGCATCGTTCCACACCATTAGTGTCGAAGGTGAAAACCCGGCTGGGACTGTTGCTTTAACTCAATTGGTCGTTTACCACAGCGAACAAACTGATCGTTTGCTTCAGACTCGATTACCAAATCACTTGTGTTTGATTACTCAATTCTATGCACACTTTTGTCCATCGTATCGTCATGACAATTGTTGCTAGTACATATTCAGGTTGTTCCAAAATGGTTTCGAGTTGGTAGTGATAACTAAGGATGATAACACCTACAAAAATGGAGAATATACAAAAAACTCACTTAATGATGCCATCCAGGATAGGAAATTGATTCCTTAGCTGTTGAATGGCCCTCACCACAGTTTCGTGGGCTTTACCGAGCGCTCTCACTTGCTGCATGTCTAAATTCTCACACATAGATATTGCCTTCCAGTATACAGCTCAATGCGGCTACCACCATTGAAAAAACGTTATTCACCTGAATTCTGCCTAATCATATGTGATGGTGTTAATAGGAAAAAATGGTGCTGATAGGAATCATCGCCGATTAGTGTGCCCTTCTTCGTGCCATCACAAAACTGCTCGAAAAGAATGCTGCGTTTGAAGACCTCAAACAACGGTAAACTCACTCCGTTAACGTTTCGCTCGGAGCAGCTTGATAATCTACTTTAAATAGGTATAGGCTCGCTTTAAACGGTGACCACAAGTATTGGGTTGGCGGGTAAGTTTTGTCAGGTTTTTTTTTTGAATTTCACGTCTCTGCCCATACTTGACAGTCAGACTAATATTAGCAATAACACCCAGGTAACACACCTTCCGTTGATAACACTCACATATTTTCACCTTCTTTTTGCACTACGGTGAAGGATTTGTCACGGACGTCGGCACTCGCGTCAGCAGAAAGATCTTTCATGCCACTCCGACTCGAGCATGAAAGCTGTCGAGGCCAAAATGGAAGTACTAAGGAACATGCCCGTAGTAACTGAACATCCGCTGATGCCGGCCAGGGCTCTAAAGCTGGAGACTGCAGCTTCCAAACATATCACAACTTGCACTGAGAGCTGTCCAGGGACCATTCATGCTGGTATCTCCTTACATTTCAATGTAACAGTATCAGATCGCACATTGCAAGAGATGACATTCAGGAGTTCACAGAATATGGAATCAGTTCTCTGCCGCTCCAATTCAACTATAACCTGCTCCCGCTGACTGGTTATTCTCCAAGTTAACTC